CAAATCGGCTATATAGCAGCTATATGAAATAGTGCCCCAAATCATATGAAAATTGGTGGGTCATCTTGGGGGCATAAAAAATGAATACAAACCAAATTTCAATTCAATAGCTTCATAAACAAAAAAGTTGGGTCAAATCGGCCAGATCGGCTATATAGCAGCTATATGAAATAGTGCCCCAAATCATATGGAAATTCGTAGGGCATATTGGGGGGCGTAAAAAATGAATACAAACCAAATTTCAATTCAATAGCTTCATAAACAAAAAAATTGAGTGAAATCGGCCAGATCGGCAATATAGCAGCTATATGAAGTAGTTCCCCAAATCATATGAAAATTAGTAGGTCATCTTGGGGGCATATAAACTGAATACATAACAAATTTCAATTCAATAGCTTCATAAACAAAAAAGTTGAGTCAAATCGGCCAGATCGGCTATATAGCAGCTATATGAAATAGTGCCCCAAATCATATGAAAATTAGTAGGGCATGTTGGGGGCATAAAAAATGAATACAAACCAAATTTCAATTCAATAGCTTTAAAATTAGAGTTTATGCCAAAATAAACGTAAAAAAACCATAGTGCACTGGATGGAATTTCTGGTCATCATCCGTTTGGAGTAATGCTGCTCCGCACCCATACATGCTGGCATCTGCATGAATCTCAGTTGACGAATTTGGGTTAAATATTTTTCTAATGGGAGCCTTCAATAATGAACTTCTAAGTTGGTTAAAGGCTAAAATATCTTTATCTCCCATCTTAAAAGCACTTTCCTTCTTTAACAAATCCGTTAACGGACGTGTTATTGTAGCACATCCTTCAACAAAACGTCTAAAATATGTTAAACCCACAAATCTTTGCAAAGCTTTTCTTGATTGAGGTAAAGGATAGTTTGCTACAGCTTTTGTCTTTTCTACCGATGGCAATATCGTGGAGATTTCTATAACGTAACCCAAAAATTTAATCTTTCTTTGAAGAAATTGGCACTTTTTCCACTTTAATTTCTGTCCGTTTGATTCTGCTACTTTCAATACTTTTCCCAGCTTAGCTATTTCCTCAACACAGTCCTTGGATGGAATTACAATATCATCAATGTATATTACTAATGTTCCATCGTAAACTAATTCCCCAAATATGGACGATATGTATCGGGAAAATACTGCAGGGGAATTTGATATGCCAAACGGAATATATCTAAATCCCAATCCCATGGCAGCGGGTTCTACGATACCGGATTGACCCGAAACAACAAGATCCCAGTTTCGGCCAGCGGCTGCCAACCCAGTATGTACATGTACATGTTTGTTTTTGTTTATTTTCTGCATTGGAAGCAGCATATCCCGGAATGCTTGCTCCGGATTTTATTGGGCCGTGCCGGGATTGAGAAAAACCCCGGACCTTGGTTCTGCTCAGAACCGGCACTCCACCGCAGTCTCCAGAACAGCAACCAACACCGCAGCACCTAACGCCACATGTTGCCGTTTCAACTCCGGATTGTGCATCATTCTTGCAATTCAATTGCAACGGACTTCGAGGCAAAATAGATGAGATAGTGGAATTAATGAGTCGGAGGAATATTAAGATCGCAGCGGTGCAGGAAACCTAGCTGAATGAAAATTGCAGCCTACAACGTTAACTTTTCAAGTTTCGCATTTGAATATTGTAATGACTAATGACAAAAGTTACCTATGCAGGTCCATGTCGTTTTTAAAAGATTTTGTTGTTTTTGAGAATTGCCAAATTCGTTCCAATTGGTGGAGTGTATTCAAAGTTCGGCCAGACCGAACTTACAGCGTTTTTACCTGTTTTAGATTACGTTCGCATATTTGTCATTTTAAATGAATATCTTGGAAAAATATATAAATCTAAAAACATAGTTTTCCCTAATGGCCCCTAACTCAATTGTTTTTTTTTTTTAAATTATATAACTAAATATATTTTTATTATAAATATATTGGAAATCCAATACTCCACATTGACTAATTTATTGCATTTTGGCATTATTTATTTACAAATAGCACTGAACCAAACCGCTATTTTTCATACTATATAAGTGGCCTTCCGCTTAAATGGCCGCTTAAAATATTTTTGTTTTCTGAAGATGTTAAACATTTCTACGCCATTAAACAAACTGCTAATTGTACAACTCGACCTGTATTCTTTTGTAAATTTGGGTAATGTCAATGGAATGTCATTATAGATCTAATATTAGACAAATATTTGAATAATGTAGACTCGTTTGTAGAAAATTTGTTACATATTAGACAATAAATTACGCTTCAATTTAAATATAGAGTCCTGTGTAAATGAACCCAGGTCGCTACCATTATTTATAGAACGCTGGGGTAAATTATTAAATTATATATATATATATATATATATATATATATATATATATATATATATATATATATATATATATATATATATATATATATATATATATATATATATATATATATATATAATTTAATAATTTACCCCAGCGTTCTATAAATAATAGTAGCGACCTGGGTTCATTTACACAGGACTCTATATATATATATATATCCAAATTTATATATGTATAAGTTCGTAAATGGGTCATGTCGGTCCACGTTTTCATATAGCCCCCATGATTTAACGACATTAAAAATCGGAATTATTTCAAATGTCGTCTTTGAAGTTCGTAATCGGTACTACAGCCTTTGACAAACATTTCTGTATGCAAGTCCACGTCTTCGTATAGCCCCCATATAACAATATAACGGTGATTTCAGCAACATTATTCACCAGAATCGCTTCATATTTGGTATTTGAAGTTCGTAATGGGTACTACAAAATTTCGTATGCAGGTCCACGTCTTCGTATAACCCCCATTTGACCGTACCTCCCGATGCTCGGTATTTTCACGATTTTTACGACATTATTTACTGAAATTATTTCAAATTTCGTGTTTGAAGTTCGTAATGGGTATTACATCCTATGACGGAAATTTCGTATCCATGTCTACGTTTTCGTATAGTCCTTATATAACGGTTTTCATTGAAATGGTAGTTTTCGGACTTTAGGGTATTAAAAGTTCGGCCCGAACTTAGTTGCGTTTTCACTTGTTTAATTTTTATATAATTTTTTATGATACGTAAGCGCATAAGTAGTGGTGTAAACCAAGCTGGATCCATTTCACCGCACAATTTCACGAGAAGGACTGATTTTCCAATGCATCGTAAACTACTTTAATGTTGAACGCACCAGAACATCGTTAGTCTTGGCAAAGTTTTGCTTAAGCTATTTAGTATGACAAGAAGTCTGTAATGTTTGAATATTACTAAGATTTATGCTTACCATAGGAGCAGAATGGTACATATCCCCTGACTCTGAGAAAGGAGGACTTCTACACACAAAAGAAGTTACGTTGTAAGAAAAACAAATGAATCACACAGGGGGAGATAAAAAAACTGCAATAAAGTCAAAAGCCACCATTTACATTTTTTTTTTTATTTTTATTGAATGAAAAGAAATGTCGGAAATAGCATCAAATTTTAGAATAAGTTTAGATTTGTTCGAATTGGTCTCCTTTTGCACGAATTATGGCCTTCAAACGGACAATGAAATCGTCACACGCTGTCCGAATGTTGCTCTGCGGTATTTTGGTCCGTTTTCGGCGAAGCGCTTGCTTGAGGTGATCGACACTTTGGTATTTTTAAGTCCCAACCTTGCTTTCCAAAATACTAAAGACACAATAGTCCAACGGATAGGTATCCGGAGATTTTTGTAACCATTCTTGGGTGGCGCGTGCGAAGGTGCTGAGTACTGTTGGAATGTCCAAGGTCTGCGCCCAAAATGTTTGCGTGCCCAAGGCTTTATATAAATAAATAAATCTGATGCCACGGTCGATTAATACGAGCGGAGAGCGCTCGCTTTTTTTGAGTCTATTTTCTTTCTGTTCCGGTGTATGTTCTTGCATTTTTTGGAATTTCAATGGCTTTACTCCGAGCTCATTTTTCAATATTTGCATAATGGAATATTGCGATATGTTCAGGTCACGAGCCTTTTTTCGGCCACTGCGACGCGGGTTTCGATCAAGTCTTCTTTAATTTTCGAACCATTTCTGCTGATGTTGCTGTTTTCTTCCGTCCACTTCCTTGACGTCGGGCTACGCTACCAGTATCCCGGTAAGGAGCGATGGTACGAGACACAGAAGATTTATTCAAAGTTAAATGCTGGAGTGCCCTAACGATAGCCTCTTGTGGGTTTCCAGCCAAATATAAAGAATTCACACTATCACGCTTGAATTCTATTATGCAAAACTTTTTTTCTGGGAAATTTGTACGCTTGTAAACAATGTAATGAACTGTCACTGGAAAATGTTAATAGAAATGACAACAGTCTGAAGTTAGTTGCAGTTTTATCATCTCACCCTTTATATTTTTTTTCTGCATTATAGGCAGAATGTCTGAATTTGGATCAATACAAAAGCAAGTTATGATAATGTTTTATATACGTTGTGAGGAAATGGAATTATAAAGGCCAATGAAAACCCCTCCACCAATTTTATTTAATCTGTCTTTACCGCAAATTTGATACTGATCAGAAAAAAATTCAGTGCAACGAATCTCAAATTTTAGCCATCTCTCCATGGTTGACGTTTGTTATTAAGACCTCTCACGTATGTCTTGTACAACTGACCGTGAACGTGTTCCAATACCGTCGTATGAAATTCCTGTGGTTTAAATTCTACTAAGTAGATTTTGAACCGAAATTTATTGTTACCAAAACACGGACAACTATGATTTATAAACAACAACAAATATTCTGAAAAAAACTTTAGTTTTGTTTTCTGCAAAGAAAGAAAAACACTTTTGTGTAACATTTTAAATTAAAGTTGACTATGATAAAAATTTTAATTTTATTACATTCGTAATAATATATTGATAACAACGCTATATGAGAATGTTATATTACGTCCAGCCATTACATACAAAATTCTTTGAAGCGATTTAACAAAATAGCTTGAACGTATGTTTTCGATAGTCACATTTATTATGATCCAATTCATTTTATTTAATTCATGTGTATACCATTTTTTATTGGTTAGTAGAATTATGTAAAAATAATAGGTTTTATTTACTGTAACATTGTTGTTGGAAAAATCAAAATGTAGAAAAAATATTTCAGTATATTATGAATGCGACTTATTCTTTAATTTCTTTAAAAAATCCTTAGCTTGTTTATCGCCCTGGCGGTACTCCAATGCACGAATTGTATCGGAACCTGAAAGCATAAATTAAATAAAAAATTAAAACTTATTTATTTGAATTAATACTTTTGTCTCTAAATTAATTGTTCCTTAACTTCCAAATTAGTAATAATTGTTTTCGAGAAATACCATGAACAAAAATGCTACAAGTTGTTTTGTTTATTTGACTTGTTGAGGACAAATACAAAAAACTTGGAAACTTTCTGTTGAAAATCATTGTAGAAAAGCTAAACGTTTACAACTTATAAAAATATGCATTAAACGAACAGTGTTGGCTTGTTTGTTCGGGATACCATAGTATTATTGTTGTTGTTGTTTCAAAATGGTCAGGCTTAATCCCTTTATTGTTGTTTTTATAAAAACAGCGTTTGTTTATTAGTGGAGAACGATAGTAATGTTTACCAGGGGGTAAGACAGGGAATACCTAGGTTTCGGAAAGAGCCACCAATCCTCATCAGTTCCATCGTTTTTTTTTTTGGCTGGGATATTCTCCCCAGAAGTTACTTTAAAAACCAGTAAAGAAAGTCCTAAAGTCGGATGGGGCCGACTTAATGATACCCTACACTTTGCTAATTTAGTAGAGCTCCACATAACAATTAAAAGTTTTTATAGGAGAATTCAATCATATACACGGACTAAATATGCCGAAGCATTTGTATCTTTTAAATTCGGACTTGTATTGTCCATTTGGTGCAAAATTAATTTGAAACCAGATAAAGATATATATAGGAGCTATATCCAACCGATCTTGATAACATTTGGCACAGATATTTCTGAGCTGTATTTGATATATTTCCCTGAATATCGTTGTTACGGAGTGCATATTACGGCGGTGGGTAACAAATATTACAAATCGGATGAACAATATATATGGGAGCTATAGCTAAATCTGAACCGATCTTCACCAAATTTGGCATACTTCCTTCTAGACTCAATTTGGTCGTATATGCCAAATTCCATCCCATTTGGGAAAAATAACAAATCGGATGAACAATATATATGGGAGCTATAGCTATATCTGAACTGATTTCGATCAAATTTGGCATACTTATTTTCAGGCCTAATTTGGTTGTATGTGCAAAATTCCATACTATTCGGGCTGATATTACACGTTTTGGCTTCTTTGTTCGGGATACCATAGTATTTTGTTGTTGCAAAATCGTCAGGCTTGATTCCTTTATTGTTGTTTTCATAAAAAACTACCTTTGTTTGTTAGTGGTAAACCATTAGTGGTATCATCGTTCTCCACTAATAAACAAACGTTGTTTTTATAAAAACAACAATAAAGGGATTAAGCTTGACGATTTTGCAACAACAAAATACTATGGTATCCCGAACAAACAAGCCAATACTGTTCTGTTAATAGACAAGGCGCGGTCGACGAAGGGATTTTTGTTGTAACAGACAAAACCAACTTACATGGTTATGCTACTTCGTTCAGGTAGAACGAATGCATAACAAGTGGAGAAAGATGTAAATGTTTATAAGTGCGGTTGTAAGATTTAGAAGATTTTCAATAATAATTTAGTTTTATTTAATTATTTGGTTCCTCTTCTATTGAGCTTACGATCTCGTCACTTGGGTAAAAAATGTTTTTTTTGTCATGGGGAGAATATCTCAGACAAAAAACAAGGGAACTGGTGAAGGGGTTGGTGGCTCTTTCCGAAACCTAGGTATTCCCTGCCTTACCGCCTGGTAAACATTCCCATCGCTCTCCACTAATAAACAAACGTCGATTTTTATAAAAACAGTAATAAAGGGATTAAGCCTGACCATTTTGCAACAACAAAATATGCATTAAACGCTAATACTATGGGCCAGCAACGCAGTCTGGGTCAGCGTACCTGGCCCATAGTATTAGCGTTAAGTTTAATTAGTATTATTTTTTAATGTATATTTTTAAAAACCTAATATAATATATAAAAGTCAATCTACAAATTTGCCACTTTTAATGGATTAAGCTTATTGATGTTTTTCTTATATTGCGGTTTATTGTTGAATTCTTTTGCATATACACTTGTTAATATATTTTTTGATTTTTTGGGGCATTCTACCTCGGAATCAATAGTAATTTTTAAATAAAATTCCAGCCAATATATCTATAAAAAATAAGGTGTCATCGGTTTATAAAAGTTAGGGATCCAATAAAGTATGTAAAAGAATAGAAATTATGTCCGTGTGCTCTCCGCTCGCCATTTGCAATTACGACAGAGGTTGCCATATATAATATGCGTATTTGAAACTTTGTACAGGCTATCATATTATTCTTAGATGATTTTTGTTACAAAAGATATATATTTGTCCTCATTTAATATTATTCCTTAATATTATTCGACCAAAGGTGCTCTAATTTGACAGTTCATGATTGCAGTAAAGTTAAATCTAGCTCCTAATACTGGTTCCCCCAATAACCTACCGCTTTGAGGTATTTTGAAGGACTCAAAAGCATTTTCGATGTTAACAATTACCACTAAATAATTTACCATTGCATGTTTCTGTTACAATTTCTACCGAACGAACTGCATTAAACATTAGACATAACCGCCAGTTATATGCGTTTAAAGTGTTTGATGCTTTGAAAAAAATTCTAAATTAAATTAAAGCCATACCATATAAAGATTTTTCGGATTTTTTCAAAAACAATTTTTTATTTTCAAAAGGCATTCTGGAACAATTCTACACCAAATTCCATATCAAAAAAGCGATTTTTTTAGTTTTTAGTTTCGCGATTTTTCTAGAGGCTTTCCTAATATTTTTCCGAAAAACAATTTGAGTCTAATTGGCCTAGCCGTTCTCAATTGATGTGCTGCTATACTTTGTATACCATACGCCACACTTATGTCTTTGTACATTTGTTTGTAACATGCAGAAGGAAACGAAATACACCATAGCTACTTTCACATTCTGAGTCGATTTATGCATGTCCGTCCGTTTGTACATGTATTTTTGTAAACAAAGTACAGGTCGTATTTATTGTCTGATTGAGATTAACATTTTCACAAATCATTTGTTTGGCCAAGGACGAACCAAATGCGTGATACCAGTCCGAATCAAATCAATTTTGGTGCACGCCGCCAGGTTTAGTGCAGAAGTACGAGTATTTCTGTCAATTTTGGAGGGTAGAACATAGCTACCTCCTAAATACAATGTATTTATTTTGGTGCCCCTTTTCTGTGAAAGAATATCGCACGTTATACATGTGTGTATTGTTTTGAATAATAAAAAAATGAAATTATTTCAAATTAAGATGCAACAGAAATGCATATTTCAATATGGTCAACAAACTGTACCATTTTGGGATAAAACAATATTTCCTTCTATTTTGGATTGAACTTTGTAGAATAACCCCAATTTTCCATGCATGTTTAGTGGGTCTTCCCTCAATATAAGAATAATATGAAAAAGTATAAAATAAACAAAACCAATTGTTGAATGTATAATTGTATATTTAACACAATAAGACTCCAGTACAGAGTTGAGTTTTCCTAGTTGCTTTGAAGTTGTACAAACTTTCTTATTGAGCCATGGCTATAGCTCCCATGTTGCCCACGTAATGCCTACGTAAAATTTGGTGGAAATTGATTCAGAGTTTGATATATATCCCACATATTATTTTCCTCTAAGTTCAGATTATAATTGCTCTAAAACTAAAACACACATTCAAAAAAGTTTATGATTGGTATAATCTACATTAATAAATTCCCAATTATTGATACTGTAGCGGAGCACAACGAGAATCGTACTGTACCACAGTCGGAGCACTATAAAACGTAGTGTACCGCAGTCGGAGCAATACGAAGTCGTAGTGTTCCGCAGACGGAGCACAACAAAATTGCAGTGTACGAAATTGCGGAAAATTAAAAAAATAAACTTATGTGTTTTTTACGATTTTTGAAAAAAATTAGATGTTTATTGTTTTTGATAATGCATAAATTACTAATACAATTCAATATTATGAAAATAAAAGCTGATTTTTTATTTGTCTTGTATGATTTAAAGTGATAATAATTTGTATTTAACCATTGAAAATTGAAATTTTTAATTTTCCGCGAAAAATGGTATTCTAATAGTTGCGTTGTAATAGGTTATTTGAAGATAATTTGCCTGCTATTTTGTGCTACCGAAAAATCAATGAATGTAATTTATAATTTCGGTGTAGATAAAACCAAACCACAGGTACTACATCAATATATGTGCTGATATCTAGAATCTAGTTTGTCACAGTTTCTCATCGGAGTACAGGTAGTCTTATTATTTTTAAGAATAATATTTTTTACAATATGCAAAAATGTCAATGTCCTGTCGTTCAATTCTTATCAAACGTTCGGTGAATAGTTACAAAAATGCCGCGACATAAAAATATTATTATTTTAGTATGTTCAAACAAATGAATGTTGAAGTTGTGTGTAATTTGCAAAATTGTAATAACAAGATTTTAATTGTACATTCCGGAAATATATGAAGACATTTAAAGAGATCACATCCTGAGCAATATGCAAACTATATCGAACAAAAACGCGCAATGAAAATACAAAATCGTGTAAAAGCCAATGGAATTTTTAATTACCAGTTAGGATTGGATTAAAGTTCTTACTTCTTAAAAATTAAATACTTTTAAATAAATGAGTATTAAGTATGTTTAATTAAGTACGTTGTTTTATTTCTTCTTCAATTCCCACTTATGCAAACAGTGATTTTAATATCAAATTTTGTATAATTTAGCAAAGTCGGATAAGATGTTCAATTAGATACTGTTGTATCACTTAATAACGCATGTAAATAATAAAAATTTTCAATCCTTTATTTCTTTTATTATAATCATTTTATTATTTATGACACATATGCATAATATACATTTTTGTTATTAGGTAATTCATGACCAAATTTATTTCGGTAAATTTAATTATCATGAAAAAGCTTTGAAATTTTATAAATTTTCAAATATAAAAAAAATGTTTATACCCTACACTGCAATACAAGGTATTATTTCTTTGTACATTGGTTTGTAACAAGT